CAGTTCTATAAACTAGACTGTTCTACACAATGATTGAAAGTAATGCCTCTCAGCCATTAACAGAGCACATCTTTATAATTCACATAATCACTGGATTCTCATTAATATTCCTCAAACCAGCCCTCATACCAGAGCATCTACTAATTTTGAGTGAAAACCCATCAGTGGATTTAGCCTCTGGAAGAGTCTACTATTGCTGGAGCATCTTTGCTCGCAGGAGTCAAACATGTTTAGGTTTTAAAACAAACAAACAAAAAAGTGCTTGGCTCTTCTGAAGAAGTGCCTCCAAAAAGCAGAGCGCAGCTGCCTGTATCATCTGTATTTGGACTATCAAAGCAGCCATGCAAAAATATTTTGTCACTCCTGTGGGCAGAGCAATATATACCACCACTACCAGGGTACAGATTTAGGACTGTTTGTTTTCTTTTACTTGAAAAGTACAAACAGCACTGGCTCCACAGGGTTTTTGCTACACAGACACACTTTTATGTTTTAAGACTACAAACACAACATGCCCAAATGTTTAGCTTTTTTTTTTTTTCCCCTCTCTACTGTCTTCAGTAGAGTTCAGGCACTGTAACCTCAGTGAGCACAATCCACTGTTAAACACCTCTCTAACAGCCATGTTTTCTGCCTGTTTAACACTCAGCTTCAGGAACAGACAAGGCACCAGCCAAGTCTTTAAGAAGGCGCTTTAAAAGCCTATGAAAGACTTCCAAGCAACATGAAGCAGCATTTTGGAAATCCAGCAAACAAAAAGACGTGGACAAGGCTCAAGGGCGGCTTGATGAGAAACACGATGGAGTGTGGGCTAGAGAACAGGGGCTGTGCCTAAACCATCCCGTCCCAACACCTGTGCCTCAGTTTCCCCATCTCTAAAGCCAGGAGAAGCCATCCTTACCAGGCAGACTGAGACACTCACTAGATTTCTAGATAATCACCAAGACTGCTCTTTAATTACTACCCGCTCTGAGAACAGCCTAGACATTGGCCACCAGTGACAATCTCTCTGAATTCACCTATGCATGTGAACCTACACCAGCATTAGTAAAAACTTTCAAGAATATCCTGAAATAATTATTCCCAGACTACAGTAATCTATTTTTTTATGCAGAACCTGGATGATAAGCAGACTAACTTTAAAAAAAAAAAACTTACTTTTTTTTTCTTATACACAAGTTTTAACGGTAAGAAGAACTATTTCGGTCACCCTTCAATTAATTTTGCATTTATTTCAAGTGTCTGAGCTCAGACTGCTTAGCTATAATAACAGCCGTCTGTCTCACGCCTCTGTGCCTAGATACCATAACGCCCTTTAAATCATTTCCAAAGAAGAGGGAGGGGAAGAGCAGCATTCCACCACTGCCAGCAAGAGGTAGCTACTGTATAAACAGGGATTCAATACACTGCTGGCAGTGTTATCAACATCACATAAACCGGTACCAAGCTTTAAATAAAATGGCACTGTAAGATGGTGGGAGATGCTTACACCACGATTTAGTTCAAATGTAATTTGTAAAGGATGAAACAACAGATTTCACCCAAAGCAGTTTCCAGATCCAGTTCACCACACAAACACATAAACCCTTGTCCCAGCAAATGAGGAACAGGCGCTGGCCTTACCATCCAACAGTAATGAGACAGAGAGAAGATAAGAATCAGTTGTTTTGCTTTTGCATAAGACCTCATTTCTACACAGCCATTCGTCACTTAAAGGGCAAATAAATAAAGGTGATGACACCATCACTACCTCTGCTTATGCAGCCCTAATTCTTAAACGTGCAACCTGCATTCAAAAAGAAAAACATCACAGACCAACTTCGATCATACACTGGGCTGCATTATTTGAGTGTCCCTGTAAAAGGAATTCAGACAGGAAATAAAGACATCAGCCTCATTGAACCGTCATGAGTTTCAGTCCTTCCTACAGGAGCTCAAACCCTTGTGAAAACTGACTCCTGTATTTATCTCCCCCTCTTGTCCCACACTTAGGTGTGCCACCAGACTAAAGCTGCCACAGATCAAGACCAGCAAAGCAGAGCCTCCCTGGCAGCAGCAGTCAGTGCCACACATGTGTGTGCCTTCCAGGAGACACCCCACAGCCCTTCCACAGCACCCAGCATAGAAAACGAAGCAGTGAGCTGTTACATTCACAGCAACGTGGCTGAAAAGACAAGCTACAGCATTCCCATCCCAGCTGCAAACATGAAGAGCAGGGCATTTCACTACATTAAATGTTTATTTTTTTAAATAAACATTAAAATGAGACAGTTGCTCTGTAACTGCGTAGCTCTCATTCCATCTTTGGCCACGGACTGAAGCAAGCGTTCACCCTGGCAAGTCAGTTCCAGCACAAACACCTAGGGACTGCGAACAGGAAAAAGAAAACCCTTTGTCACGACATCTGACAAACCACCAGCATCTGCAGTGTTGCCTGGATTCAGGCACCTGCTCTTCACTCCGACACTGAATCTTCATCCAAGGCAGCTTCATGTCACTTACTAGCAGTGCCCGGAAGCGGGGCAGCACACCGCCTGCGGGGTGGACCAGATACTCCTACTCAGCACTCTATAGAATGCACACAGGCAGAGAGAAGTTCCAAAATAAAAAGGACAGTACTACATTTTTAATGGTTTATTAACACTTCAACTTTTAATAACTTTGAAGAAGGCCTGAAAGATAAGTTTTGCTTATTGACTTTGTCTTTTCCCCTTTGGCAAAATGTCACCGTCCACCTCTTCCCTCCACCCTCCCTCCTCCCAAGAGGATAATGAAGTTTCAAGCTAGTGTTTCATTGCTTCTTATCTGTAAATTGGCTTCAATCATAGCAGCAGAAACATGCAAGCCTGGGCAACAGTGTTTGCCAACAGCTTTTAGAGAATGCATAGAAATGCACAAATAATTTGTGCATTGATACAAATAACTTTTTCTTAAATGAACTTCACATATATATATTTTCAAGTGGGTTAAATCTGGTGCCCAGAATTACTACCGAAGCTGTTATCTTCTATTTAACTAGGCTTTTTTTTCCCCTGAACCATCATACTACCCTTTTTTAAAGTGCTATATTCATAAAAACTTCAAAATACTACTTTGATACTGTATAATTGTTCTATCTTGCCCTTTTGAGAATCAGAAGAGCAACCTGCAATGCATATTTAACTGAAGTTACACATTTAGCCTCACACGACTTGATGGGCACCACCGCCTGACCATACCACCAGGAGCAGTGGAGAGACTGTATTTCCCTGTGCTTACATACACCAGTAAGCAGGCAGACAAAGCAACAAGTCCTAACCATTTCAGGAGCAAAGACAAACAATTTAATCCGTATTACATAATTCACTGAATACAGTTGATCTCATCCAAAGTGACTCCTGAGAGCAAAATAGTTTTAGCATTACATTTTATATACAGCTATGAAGGGATTACTGGAAACCAAGACAGTCTCCTTACACCATTAGTAAGCACACTGGTTACGAGACTGCTGCACACTTTCACTTTGAAGATATTACTTAAACCATGACCAAGTTTTACCACCACCTGTTTGTTATTTATGAAGAAAGTTACTTCTATCCCATTTTATCATTATTTTTACCTAACTTCTGCCAGACATCAAAACCTGAGTCAGCTGCATTAAGCAAGGACTCCTTTTTCTGCTCTCAAGTCCTGAAAGTGCTAGCTACCCTTGAAAACCTCCATACACTAGGCTGTAAACGCTTTAGTACCTTCCAGAGGAGTTTCTGGGGGTTTTTTTCCCCTTCAGTGCAGGAATGACTGCTCTGTCTGAAGCAAACTACATCCTGCACACTGTCGCTTTCGGTATTTCCCATGTAATCAGTTTGGAACACACTATGGAAGTCTGACGTGGCAATGTTCTGTTAGAGAAAAAAAATCAGGAGAATTACACCATTCTGAACCAGTGGAAGCAAAATAATCAAGACCTTAACACAGTTTTTTCCAGTCACTGGGATGGAAGGAGACTTGAATGCAGACACTGGAACAAGTAATTGGAAACATCTGTGCTCGCATGCTTAAGTGAAAAGATAAGCAGTATTTGCATCTTCTTCATCATCTTCCTTGCACATGTGCAAGATTTTATAAAAAAAAAGTTTATCACAGAGAGCGATGACAGAACATGATGTAATTATAGGGTGTTGGGGTTTTTTTAAAAAAAAGAAGCACTAGAAATAAAAGGCAACCAAGATAATGTACATCTTCTCCAAAACATTTTTCTCAGCTACATAAGGTGTGCGTACACCAAGGTCTAACACACTTAGCTGCACCACATCAAGTCAAGCTGTCCAAGAGCATACACAATTTTGCTTACAGGAGTATACCCCTTCCACAATTTTTCAGTTTACAAGTAATTCCCTGTATTGGATTATGCTTAGTCAGAAATACAGGTAACATTTTGTTCCAATACTACTGTTCGTTTTTATGACATATTCAGAGGTGAGGCAAGACTAAGATTAAGTGCAGGGAAGCATTTCAGACCCCAAAAAACTGCATTCTTTAGAACTCAGCTATACATGGTTAACACAGGTAGATCTGCCAAGAGTTGCATAAAAATGATTTTCATTTTCAAAAGGTGAGCAACTGAGGCTCAAACAGCAACTATCAACTCTTCTGCATCACGGAATTCACTATGGGTGTCTAAGTGATTCAACTTGGGTTTTTGAGTATCTGCTAAAGAGAATTACAAACGGAGTAAGTTAGTATATGTGAATTAAGAACCCTTATGAAATCAAAGAATAATGTTGACTCCTGGAAGACACCCAGAAGATCCAAAGATGGAACAGAAGGTTGATTATTACACTCCCACACAATTCAAGCAAATTGTTAATATACTGAAAACATTCATGTCTGCTGTTTGTACCTGCTGGATACCCAAATCATTCTGTCCCAAAACAAGTTTGATAACCATCCTCTCTGTAGCTGAAAGCAGCCAGAAAACAGTTTGTTTTTTTTAAACAAATGGAATGGAAACTCCCCACCCACCCAAGCTTCAATTACAACAGTCTAAGCCAGAGACTTAAGCAAATAAACTTCAAAATAGCCATTTGTTACAAGTAGCAAATTACCATGAACAATGAACTTGTTAGGAATCCCTTCTAAAAGTACGACACACACAAACAGGCTACCCAGCAGAAAAATCTGTTAACAATTTTATTTCTTTTGTAATGTTAAATATTATGGGACAGGATTGTAAGGATGAACTCTCAACAATGCCTCACAAGGAATAAGAAAGAAATTCTGCCATGATATTAGCAAAGTAAGGTAAGGAGAAAATTTACACAGTAAGAGGCACCATTTCCCCCAGAATACCTCTTGTCGTATTCCTGAATGAGTGGGATTAGCAATCTAATAAATCATTTTTCAAGAGGTAACAGCAACAGATAAAATTTTAAAGGATTATTAAAATAACATTTACAAGACTCTGAACAATTTTTGTATTCTTATTAAAACCACAGAAAGAAAGAACAATTCTTTGTTTATGAATTTTCATAAAGGACTGACTGTGCAACTGACACCTGCTATTGATGACTTAATGTACAATTTTGTCCAGTAGCCGAACAGTTTGTCTTTTCAGATTGTGTTTTCTAACCGTGCGAGATCATTAAAGGCAAAGCCTGTTATGATGCTGTACACAAAAATGGCCACTTGGGCCATACTACCAATGAAGTGGTAGGTAAACAAATCTTTTTCTGGCCAAGAAAAAAAAAAAAAAAAAAAGGAAGCTGCATTTTGCATGCTTCTCTCACTCATTCTTTCTACAAGATGAACTTCCCTAGAAAGAATCCAATGAAAATGGCTGCAATTACAACAAGGAGTGAAGGAAGAGAATTAGAGCCATTATCTCTGAGGGCCAAAGCTGTGGGTGATCCAGATTTATCCGAGTGCGCTACCTTTCTGAGCCTCAAGCCTTCATCCTGAGGGGGGAAAAAAAAACAGATGGAAAATATTTATGAACACATCTTCTTTATAATTTTAAAAACTGAACTCAAAGGCCAAATTTACTGATGAACACCTAAATAAATTTTAAAAAAAATTAAACCACATCAAAATCCAAAACATGAACACAGCAAACCACAACATTTGAAATCAGGACAGGTAATCCAGTCTCTCTCCATGCTCTGGTTAAGAAAGATTCTGAAATTCTTGCTAGGCACAACAAAGAATCCTGCTTTTACTTACTACCTGTCAGAATTAAATAGCAGTAATTCCTTATTGTTAAGGAGAAACATCTGCTTTGTGTAGCGTTTCTCCAAATGCTCCAATGTCATCAGAACTACAGGTGTGGAAACACCATTATTTGATGGTTCTTTAAAAGGCTACCAGGACCAATGAAATTGTCAGATACCCAAAGTAAAATATACAGAAAAGTCACATAAAGTCACATATTGACTAGTTACAGGTTACTGAAACGGCACCTTTAGGTAAAGGCATTGGAAAGCAGTGTTTGCTTACCTCTGGCCAAACAATTATTCTTGTTCACTACCAATCTGTGATACAGAATGTTACCACTTTGGATCTCATTTACTCATTCCTAATGAATAATGCACTTTTATTAAAAGCTACTAATTTGGTATCTCTGATTTAAACCCCCTTAAATACGATCATTTCATTTAAGAAGAAAATTACGTAGCTTCAGTATCTCATCCATGTCAATCACGAAGTCTGAATGACTGAGAAGTTCAAAATATACAGGTCAGTAAAATCGTATTACAAATCAATCTTGACATTCTAACAGTTGTATCTACTTTCTGGAATACATATCTATTGGTCTAATTACAAACCAGACCTTTCAATCAAGAAGAGTGAAGCCACTTCAGTTTAAATATGGAAGCAGAACTTACTCTCAGGTGCCGATTTTCATCCGTCAGCTTCATAATCTCTGCTTGAAGTCTTTTGCACTCCTCCACTAGCTTCCTTGTTTCAGTATCATTAAGCGAAACACTATGTGGTTTTGGCATCGGTCCATCCTGCTTAGATGTGTTCAGTACTGGGGCGGGTTTGCTTGCATCTATATCATTCTAAAATATTAAGAACGACTTGAGAATTTTACTTACCTAGAGAAAAATCATCCACAGCTTAAAACTGAAACAATCCAGCTACTAGTTCAATTAAGTTTATATTTACAGTAATCTGAACAAAGACCTCTGCTACCAGTTCAATTCTGGTTAGCTCAAGCATTAAAAGGAAAAGGAGAGTGCACTGTTTACATTTGCTACTACACGCTGAGACAAAAATTAATACTTTAGCTGCTTAACACTGATCCAGCAAGCATAAAAAAGATGGCATAAAACACACCAAACAAAACAAAGTAAAAAGAAATCAGGCTGTGTCACAGGGTAATATGAAGTCTAATGGCAGAAATATTTTGCACTTATAGCACCACTTACTGAAGGAAAATTAAGTATTGCACAAATATGGAATTTAAGTCTCACAGCATCTCTGAAATACACATTCCTACTTTTGAATACAAGTGAAAAGTCACATAAAAAGCTGTGAAAGCCAAAAATAAAATTAAAAATCTAGTTCCCATAGCTCTCCTCAAAATATACAATGACCTTCAGTAGACATTAATAATAAACAGATTTAACTGTATAGCCCAGGTTACTGTTTGTAAAAACACAATATTCATATGGTGATACTCTCAGAAACAGTTCGTACTCAGATTCAGGCTTCTGTTCTCCTACTTGTGTGGCTCACAGCTATGTCACTTAGACCAGGACCATATTTCCATAACCAAAGTACTCCAAGGCTAAGTACTAAATGTAACAGAAAAACCTATTAACAGGTAAACGCTTCTATACAACAACAAAGCAACTCAAAAAAAAGATGCAAGAATTTCCCCGGTTCCTCTGCAAGTAGCAGCTACTTGGTCTACAGCATCTACTTGCACTTGACATTTTTTGCAATGCAGCCACAGGCAGCGTAAGAGCCAGATCCTTCTACTCCACACAGGTACTACTAACTGGATTTAAAAAGACCAACATATCTATCACGAGTAAGCAGGTCAGGATCTGTTGCTTTTTTAATTGGTTTGCTAGCTCAACTGAATTCCTTTAGCAGCACAGAAACTTCACTGGAGACCTAAGACTTATCTGCCTGGAACAAACCTCCTTCTGCTGTTCGACCTCACTGCTTCACATCAATCTGCCGGCTACAACTGGTAGGCATCCGAAGAAAGCTCTTGCTGACCAGAGTGAAACATTTGTGTCCTGGTGTAGGTATATCCTGAGGTGGCAGGTGAGGCTTACTCAGGACTTGGCAGATTTCTCATTACCAGGTTTAAGGGATTGACTAAATCACCTGCTAAAACAGGGGTTTGCAACCCTACACTGCTACTCAGAAAGTACAGTTGAAATCATGAAGGTATCACCTTAAAGAAAGTACAAAAGGAGATAGTTTTGTATAATCCACTACATTATATATTTTATAAAACTAAACCAAATTTTTTTCTATTTAATAAGAAAAAAACCACCGAAAGTAGACAACTAAGTGCCTTGATAACAAATGTTTAACCTTTACAGTTTTAGCATTTAACACACACTTAGGCAGCCTACTCCTGAATAAAGGGCTGCATCTCATAAATTATCCTTTACAAAAACAAAACAACAGAAAAAAAAACAAAGCCCACCAAAAACATATACTGACATCATGTCTGAAAAATATCATTACTTTACGCTCCAAAAACTGTATTAAAAGACTGGTTGCAAAGACAGCTACTGGCCAGCTAGCAGCCTTCACTGAGACCCTTGATACACGTAAACAATGAGATGGCTTTTACATGCATGGATTCACGCTACTTTTCCCCAACATGCCTTACAAACTACTGTAAAAACTGGACAGTACTTAAAAGAAAAGTCAAGGTCATAAAGTGAATAGTCGTGTTTACAGAAATCCTTTAGCACTCTAGTTCACAATGCTAAAAGCAGCACCAAAAAGAAACCCAACCCCTCCACAAAAAAAAAACCCAAACAACCCAGAATATAGAGTATTAAGATTCCATAAATCTGAATTTCAAGTATGAGGGTAAAAAAAAAAAGTTAACGCATAAGAATTTTGTCAATATTCTGCAAAACTTCTAGGACCAATAGTTAACTACTATTCCAAATATCAGGCAACACAGACATCTTCAGCCTATATGCAACAAAACAGTCATCTCCTACGCAACTGGAAGGTAAGAGCATGAAAGAGGTAATGGGATTTTTTTTTTGTCTGATTATCTGTCTTTACCATTATCTTAAAAAATGCATTTAGGACTCCCAAAGCATGCATTAATTTGTAATCAGTACTTCCTTCTCTAATTCAGCTGAATTAGTAACAGAATTTTTAAAATCGAAAAGCATTTAATACTCTAATTTTCACTGTATGCAGTACTGAAGATTCTCTTTTCTTTTTAAACTGACAGCAATAAAATGCTAAAGCAAATCAATAATAAAAATAGCAAAAATATAGTAATTTTCGGCACTTGGCTCCATTGCTGGAGGTTATTAAGGTGCAGTTGGACAGGGTGCTCCCTTTCCAATGAAAGGCTGGACCAGATGGTTATTTCAAGGTCTCTTTCAACCTGGGCTGTTTTATGAATCCTTGAAAAGTTACACACTGAACACTCCTCCTGTCTAATTTAGTGCAAATGCCTATAATCCATTTAATCAACAAATCAAATAGGTTAAAAAAAAAACCCTCAGAACAAATTTCCGTGACATCCCAACAGTCAGTGTATGACAGTTTCTTACTCTTTTCTTACTTACCAGTTTATCATTTTCGTTGGGCATTTCAAACACACATCTCAATTTGGAGTCCATTAACTCATCAGGTTTTGCTTCTTTCCACTAAGACAACAATTAATACAGTTACTTAACATGCCAGACTCATGCAAACAGCTGAACAGTTCATAAGCTTGACCTTAGTACTTGCCTCCTACATAGCTGAACACTGTCCTTACCCTACCTGCAATTTTCAGACTTGCTTTTGAACAATGGTTTTTTTGTTCACTCGTACTGCTGCGAACTAATGAAAGCTAGAAACGGTTAATTAAGTCTGGAAGTGGAAATGAGTAAATTGAATGCAAGGGCGGATCCAGAGGTTTGCAGAGGGTAGGGAGGGGACAACACAGCAGTTCCTTTAACACATCGAGGAACAAGTACCATCTGAGTTGGTTTAAGAACAAAGTTCTAGCCCTATCACTCCTTGGTAAGTGTACGCCTTAGGTCCCACCTTGGAAGCACCAATTTTAAACAAAAGATTGAAAAGACATCTTTTAGTGATTCTGTATTTAGTTCCAGAGTAATTTCTTTAGTTCTTCATAGTTTAGATTTGTAACCACTTCCTCCTTTCACTGCATAATACATCACAATTTGGGCCTAGAGAATTTCTCAAAGCTGCTTATAAAAAATATTTTAAATTCTAATGGTTACCAATATATTTAAATAATTGTGAAATATGCTGGAATCTCTCTGCTCAACTGACAATTAGCTTTCAAAGCATACACTTCACGTAGTTGCCTTAAATCTTGAGGCTCAGAGACTTATCTGAAGTCTGTGGCAACTTTTCCAACAACAGGTCCTCTGAAGTTACCTTAGCAGGTCTTACAGAATAGAATATCCAGGCTTTTTGTAACATCCTTCCTTTTTTTCCTGTTTCTTTTTTGTTCGTTTTTTTAGTGGCATTAATTGTACACTAACTTATAACTACAATTACCCATTTTCTGCAAGATCTGTTTCTCAGTATTCTGTACTTGCACACATTGAGAAAGCAGTTTTTTGAAAGGTATTTCTAAAGTGGATTTTTATATCCTCACCAAATAGTTAAGCTTCACTTACCACATACAACCAAGAGCTATCAGAGCATATTAAGAACAAGTAAACCAGACCAACAAGGAAGAGAGATGTTAACTTTCTAGCTACGTGTCAAAAGCTTAACAAAATCTAAAAGGTTTTCCACTATTTCCAGTGAAGAGTGGTAAGTTTTTGCCTTCATGTAAGTGGACAGAGCCTAAACCTGCAGAGGCCTAGTGGATTTCAGTGATTACAAAACCTCATCTTTATCCCTTGCTTCCTCTCTCCTCCTCTGCGTTGAGTGAACACTGAAGGCACCTGCGTAAACTCAGCCATTCCTTAAAACAGCCTCTAAAGGCAGATGGCTGGGCATCACTCTCCTCCACCTTAATATGCATGTTATGGGAGTTCACACACACTCCAAAGGGCATGTTCTGACAACTGAAGGCTTCCTTCCCATTGCTGCCAGCTTCTGTAACATCAGGAACAAGTGTCCTTACTTCTGAACTAACAAACACAAACTCAGTACCTTCTTTCTGGATCCTTTATCAGACCGATTCTGCCTAAGTACTGAACCTACAACACATTCTAATAAAACAGAAAATCAATCTGTCATTTGTGCTGTGTTTAGCCACTCGGTTATCTTGTAAAGAGACCTCTCAGTCTTCCAAATGTTTGAATTCATTATAATCCCATTGAACATTTCACTTAAACACATTTCAGACAAAATGCATCCATTTCACACAGCTCAAGCTTGTTTAAATACACAAACTTGTATAAAAAGTCTGTATATAGCAGACTTTGGCCTGTTTAGGAGACTGGCTGACAAAGTCCCTTGGGAGGCAGCCCTAAAGGGCAAAGGAGTCCAGGAAGGCTGGACATTCTTCAAGGAGAAAACCCCAAAGGCGCAGGAGCAGGCTGTCCCCAAGTGCTGAAAAGACGAGCCAGAGAGGAAGACCGGCCTGGCTGAACAGTGAGCTTTGGCTGGAACTCAGGAAAAAAAGGAGAGTTTATGACCTTTGGGAGAAGGGGCAGGCAGCTCAGGAGGACTACAAGGATGTCATGAGGTTATGCAGGGAGAAAACTAGTAGGGCCAATACTCAACTAGAACTTAATCTGGCTACTGCAAAGACAGAAAAAAAAGGTTCTATAAATAAATTAGCAACAAAAGGTGGGCTAAGGAGAATCTCCATCCTTTATTGGGGGGGGGGAGAAGATAACGACAAAGGATGAGGAAAAGGCTGAGGCACTTAACGTCGCCTTTGCCTCAGTCTTTAACAGTAAGACCAGTTGTTCTCTGGGTACCCAGCCCCCTCAGCTGGAAGAAAGCGATGTGGAGCAGAAAGAAGCCCCCAGAACCCAAGGGGCAATGGTTA